GCACACAGCACTGAGCTATTAATCACACTGCCGGCCAGCCTGCACTGCACCTCTAGAATAATGAATGACCCAACCCCTGCCAGGATGAGTCACACCACGGCCACTGAGGAAACTTATCTCTCCCAACTCTCTCCTCATCTTGTTTCTCCCTCTTCCCTCTCTCGTCTCCTGTGATCTGTCTTGCCAGTTGTAATTGGAACATTTTCTCCCGTATTTAAGTTCTGAAGTGTCTCTGGGACTTGCTAATATATCCAAAGGCTTAAACAAGGCCCGCCAAGGACGTTTATTGCTTTCTAGCATGGGCAGTTAAGCATAGCTTACAAGCGGCTCTGGGTATATATGGCCAGGAATATAAATGTTCCTTTCGGAATACAAGAGAATCCCAGAAAGGAAAAAAAAAAAGAGAAAATGATCCTAATAATGATATCAAATGAAGGCTTAAAGAAGAAATAATCTCTGGCCTGGTCACATGACAAAAGATGCACCAGAGTTGGGATGTTGTGATCTTTCGTTTGAAGGGGTTGTTTGGGCGGGGGGGGGTGGGTGTTGGGGAAAGCGGCCAGAGAGAGAATCTGAGATGCTGTGTACTGAATGAAGGAAACGTCACTCTTTTTACTAACATCGCTCTTTCCACCTTCCTGCTTCTGGTGGAATAAAGGGAGGATCACCTGACAACTGGGACCTCTGTTTTTCCTTACTATGGAAATACGCTTCCTCAAATGATTGCTCTGTACATATGAGCACTGAGAAATGTTTTTAGCCGTACTTACGTTTCTTGTGTCACCAGAAATCTGGAGGAAGGCAGGTGAGTATTGATTGATGTCTTCAAACATGGGCTCCCACTTTCCTGCCCTGTCATCCTTAATTTGTTGACTTATTGCCTCATGGTTGCAAGATGGATGCTGTAACTCCAGATGGCATGTTTGTATTCAAGGCACTAAGAAGTGGGAAAGAGTTGTCAAGACACCAGCTGTATTTGTCATTTATTTCAGGAGAAGCAAAAGCTTTCCCAGAAGATGTTTGCCTGGGTCTCAGCAGCCAGAACTAGGTCACTTCCTTGACTGCCATCCTTAGCTGAGGGAAATCTGGATACCAAGTTTAGCTTTCCTATGCTCTGAAATGGAGGCAGCAAGGGCAGTGCAGGTTGAAATGCTTGTTGGGTTAGCCAACAAACAGTACTGGCCACACCCAATTCGAGGGAAGCCATAGAAAGCTAAACTGGGCAGACAAAGGCAGTCTGACTTCACAGTAGAAGACAAGGAAATGATGAATTATTCTTGAGCCCACCGTGTACCAGGTTTTGTGTTAGCAGCATACCTGCATACATACATGTCACAGTTGTCTGTTGTATAGTGGAAAGCTGATCTCTGTGCGGTCTTCTGGATGCAGTTAAATTAGGAACCTGAACTTGAATCTGGGTCTGTTTGACTTATTCACACTGCCTCTAGGAAGTTGAGCACTGGTTTGGGATGTGCCTCACTGAATCTCAACACTTTCATCTGAGTCACTAGCACTTTAAGTTACCTGTAGACAAAGGAGGAATCTGAAGCAATTATTTTATGGGTCCCTAATAAGTTTTTTAAAGTGAGTTATTAGGTTCTTACATTGTGATGACAGTGTTAAAAAAAAGAACTAGCCTGGGAGGCAGAGGAGACCCAGCTCTTATTAAAAGCTGGTGCTTAGTTGCTCTGTGATCTTAAGTCATTTTATCTCCTCTGTGAAATGAAAAGTTGGACTAAATGATCTACAAAAGGTCTAAGGGACTTTCCTGGAGATTCAGTGGTTGAGACTCTGCGTTCCCACTGCAGAGGGCAGAGGTTCGATCCCTGGTCGAGGAACTAAGATCCCACATGTTGTGTGAACAAAAACAAACAAATAAAACCATCCTTCTACAGAGGGTCTAGCCTTAAGACCCTTAGGTTTTGCTCCTTTCTCTCCTGTGTCTATTCACTCAACAAGTATTTATGAAGTGCCTACTATGTGCCAGGCACTGTTCTAATACTATGTACCAGTCAACAAAGCAAAGATTCCCTGCCCTTGTGGACTTCATGATCCAAGTGTGTGTGTTGTGCAGGGGACACAAACAGTGAACAAAAAACATAATAAATTAGTGATGAATCAATTACACAGTTGTCAGAAGGTGATCAGTTGTCTGGGGAACAGAAGTGGGAGAGGGGGAGGAGTCTGGCCATGCTGGGAGAGAGATTGGGTGGTCCTCACTAAGAGCAGAGCATTTGAGCAAAGACTTTCATGGAGGGGAGAGAGTCAGTCCACACACAATTGATTAGGTTCAGTGCTACAGGCAGAGGGACTATCTGGAGCAAAAACCCTATGGTAGGAGTTTGCATGAGTTTTCTGAGTATCTTCTTTGCCTGTCTGAAGACTAACCTGGAACTTTTCTCATCCCAGTTCCATCACTTCCTTTCACCTGTGTTGGCTTTCAAACCAGTTCAAGCTTCCTAGACTTGAAAGCCATTTAATTTGACTTTGATATGGCAGGTGGGGACAGAGCCCAGCCACCGCCTTCGTATTTGCATCTCGGTTCACACTGCACAAACACTCGCTTTCCCAAGATGCTGGATAGGTGGCAGGAGAACCGCCGGGGCCTGGAGTCTTATCAGAACAGCCCAATCCATCCACCATCTCCAGACTGTTTTTTCTGTTTTCTGTTGACTGCCTCCCATGCAGTAAGTGAGTCAGGGTTTTCGTCATGTTCCCCAGTGATTGTCTGTGTCAGTGAACCATCATGTTCCGGTACAAGAGAGCCGTGTGTTCATCTTTACAGTTGCTGCTCTTGAGCCAGCCTGTGATGGGTGGGCTGCGCTTTCCCCATTAGCTCCAAAAAGAACCTCAGTGAGCAAGACCAGCAGCCTGCGGGAAGATTTAGCCACTTGCCAGGCTGTGCCACTCTTGTGTGTGTGTGTGTGTGTGTGTGTGTGTGTGTGTGTGTGTATTCAGTGATACATTCGAATATACCTTGAAATGGAACAAAGAAAGGATGATGTTCTATGCAGTGATGTTCTTGGAATCTGTGGTTTTGTTCAGGTGCATTGTTATCCCCAAATGGACTAAGAACTTGTAACATTTATGTGGACGGGTTGATGGGCTCGTGAATTAAAGAATCCCTGCTTGGTCCCAGTGTGGGGTTAGGATGTGCCCCCAGCCACCTGCTCTAAGGTAGATCACATTTTAGGCAAGAGTCTAGATCCCCTTGAAAGCCCTGTCCAGGTTGTATGGGCCTCAGTTCAAATACTGAACAGGCCTGGGTGTCGCCCAGAGGATATTGAGAAGTTTAGTTGTAGGGAATGGCTCGGGGAGGAGTTCATAGTTCTCTTCCAGTTGTATCTCCTTGACGTGTGACTTTGACATTTGCTTGGTGGGAATAGCAAGGGAACTTAACTTTGATCTCTGAAATCTTGTGAGGTTACAGGTGAGAATGATGTACAAAATGCAGCGTATATTTAAAAAGAAGGGGAGTGTGAGAGTCTTCATCAGGATTCTGAACCATTGAACTGAGTGTACGTGTGTTTTCTTAGCAGTCTTTTTGGCATTTCCTGACTTGGTTTTCCCTTCTCTTGGTGTGCTTCCCTTCTGTGTGCTATTTAGAAACAGTTGAGCGATGGGCACAGAGTGGGGGAGAAGCATATTGCTCAAGATTGCATAGGTCGAGGTGGAGGCGTTAGCCCAGAAAATTCTGATAAGAGCATGAAAGTTAATCTGAGAATAAGAAAGACAATAAGGGTATAGGATTTCTACTTTGCATATGTGTCTACTTACTGGATAAAAATATATGGTAATATTGTTCATTCATTTAACAAATATATCGAGCACCCACTACAGTGGCCAGCTCTATCCTAAGCACTGAGATACAGCAGTGAAGTGAAGTGAAGTCGCTCAGTCGTGTCCGACTCTTTGCGAGCCCATGGACTGTAGCCCACCAGGCTCCTCCATCCATGGGATTTTCCAGGCAAGAGTACTGGAGTGGGTTGCCATTTCCTTCTCCAGAGATACAGCAGTAGACAACACTTAACAAAAGCTTCCCCATCCTCATCTTGTTTGGTTAAATGATATGAATTGCTGGGCTTTTTTGTAGGTTAAAAACAAATGACTATAAATACTGTATGATCTAGCATCTACTATATGGTCCAGTCATTCCACTCTTAGGTCTTTACTTAAAAGAAACAAGAGCATACATCCATACAGAGGCTTGCACTTGAGTATTTGTAGCAGCTTTATTTTTCATGGCCTTGACTGGAAACAACTCAAATGTCCATCAAGTGAATGAATAAACATATTGTAGCATCTGTGTCGGTACAATGGAGCACTACTCAGCAGTAAGAAGGACTGAAGTCCTAATACACAAGGCAATGTGCATGGGCCTTAAGTACATCATGTTAAGCGAAAGAAACCAGGAGATTTCGTATTATACAATAACTTTAGAAGATAGCAACTAGTCCACAGTAACAAAAAGCAGATCAGTGGGTGCCTTGGAACAGGAACCGGGGTAGGAGACAGAAGGGCAGGAAATGGAGATTACAAAGGGACAATGAGACCTTTTGGGGAGATGAATGTGTTTGCTGCTTTGACTGTGCTGATGGTTTCACAGGTGTCCTTGAACACCAAACCCTTTCAGTTGGTACACTTTGAGTATGTGCAATTAATTACTTGACAGTTTTATTTCAGTGAAGGTATTAAAAACAGTCAAACAGCAGCAGTTTCTTGTGGTTCGATCAGTAGGGAAATTTTAGTGATGAATTGATGTTTGAAACCTCCTATTTGTTTTTCGTTCACGTATGGAAAACTCACCATGTGTCAGGCACCACGAAAGGTGGTATCAACGAGGAGCAAAAAGCGCTGTTTTTGCTTGAAGCACAGTCGGTTTGAAAAGAGATGGCTGGACAGCTCTCCCATAGGCAGTTCTGAAGCAGTTACCTGGTGTAGCCCAGTGATCCTTTACTGACTGCATTTACCCATGCTTCTGCGCCTTCCTTGTTTTTCAGAGTGACTTGTGGTCTCTGGGAATCACCGCTATCGAGATGGCAGAAGGTGCTCCCCGTAAGTACCTTCCTCTGGGTAAAATCTGTTGCTGGCCCGCTCTGCAGGTACGGATGCTTCCTTGCCAGTAGCTTCACTTATGCTACACCGAGCCCTGCGTGGACTCAAGCTGGCATACCGAGAGAGCAGAGTCATCCAGATCAACCAGGAATCCATTCATTTCAGAGTGGCATGCGGATTTGTATTTATGAGGGGAGACCAGAAAGGAGAGGAGAGCAGACTCTGAGAAGTCTTGTCTGTCTTATATACTCAGTGTATAGTCTGTTCTTCAACTGCTCTTCACCTGTAGTCAAACTGAGACCAAACCACAAAGAGTGTAAACGCCAACATTTCACAAATTCAAAGCTGATTTTCAGGCATGGGTTATGGGAACACTTGCACTCGGTTGCTCTCATTCCTATTAAAATACTAATGGTTAGGTTGTTAGATTTCCCTGCTTATTTGAGACAGAGTGGGCAGGGCTCTGGCTGCCCGAAGAGCCTCTCCAGTTCCTGGGAATCTGGAGCATTGGGCCCACCGAGACCCTCCCCAGCTACATGGTCGTCATGAGCATGTGCCTCTGAGACTCCATGCAGGAAGTGTAACTCAGGGATGGCTGCCACGATGGCTCCTCCCAAGGGCCACTCCCCTCCCGTGACCGAGCGTGGCAGGGACATAAGGCAGGCCCTTTCCCGGAAGACAGGGACTCCTTGGAGGGCAGCTTTCACGCCTCAGTTTCCCTCCTTGATTTCCTTAGACTGCAGGACAGCCTAGCAACACTTCCACCTACTTTTTCTCCCTCTCACCTTCACTGCCATCAGACTTCATAGCAATCTGACAACTCTCCCAGCCTTCCCTGGCTCCTTCACTATTTCCTTTCAGGCAGGAATTTCCTCCAGTGATATTTTCTCATGTTTAATATCACCTTAATGTCTTGCTTTTCGGAAGACCTGGACCAAAACAGGCCCCACGTTAGTATGATGGGTCATTGTGCTCATATGACTTTTTACCCTCAAGTTATCGTGGTTTTCTTACTTCTCACTCCAGAATTAGTAGAATTCACCTGTAGCATGACTGGAGCATTTGCTGACCACATGTCCCTTACCCACAATGCTGGTACGCTTTTATGAATCAGAAAGATAATCTTGGCAGTCTTGAAACTATATCATCATGCTTAATGAGCAGTTACTGCCTGTGTGCTCATGTCCGACTCTTTGGGAGCCCACGGACTGTAGCCTGCCAAGCTCCTCTGTCCATGGGATGCCCCAGGCAAGAGTACTGGAGTGGGTTGCCATTTCTTCATCCAGGGATCTTCCCAACCCAGGGATCAAACTCGTGTTTCCTGCATCTCTTTCCTTAGCAGGTGGATTCTTTGCCACTGAGCCACCTGAGAAGCCCCTAAGCAAAAGTAGGAGGGAGCTAAAAATAAGCTTTCTCCCAGCAGAATCCTTTAGCTTTGGGGGAGAATGTGTTCTTATTCCAGGCAGAAAAGATATTCCCAGATGTTGAAAGAGTAAACTAGTGAAATATTCTGATTGAATGGGATGTGAGTGTTTTCACTATAAATGATAATGTCGTCTTTACAATGTGAGATATTTTTATGAGTCTTGTACCAAACTTCTTTGCCTTAATCCTCTGGTCTTCCTGGGGCCATTGAACAAAACCAAACAAACAAAACCCATCATGAAAAGCCTGAAAGCCGTTCAAGGTATTTATCAATACAGAGAGAACGGTATTTTGGTCTAATGCTTTATACTCCAAAAACCCATGTATTAATATTAATAGATAATTAATAGATAATAAGCACTGCATTTGGGGAAGCCTTCAGTGTATAAGAGATGTACCATGGATTATTTGGGATTTTACTAATTAAAAATAACTTGCTGTCTCCATTGTAGTTGTTACCTGGGTATTGTTTACTTGGAGCCTTAGATGGTTATTTTTAGCAAAGCAAAGGTTGTTGAGCCTTTGACTTGTTTTCCTTAAAAATGAAGGGCAAGTAGACACGTTAACAATCTCTAGTTGAAAGGTGTTAGACTTTTGAGACTCCTGTAATCCGTCTCATTTAACGCTCACCAAAGGGAAACTCTATGATCTCCTGACTCTGCTCACGGGTCATGCTTGGACTCAGGAAGCCGTTTGGCAGCATTATCAGCACAGAAAGGACGGGCGTGGCCCGGGTTTGGCCCCCTGACCTGAGCTGGCCCTTGTTTTGGTCTCTTGCAGCCCTCTGTGACATGCACCCCATGAGGGCTCTCTTCCTCATCCCCCGGAACCCAGCGCCTCGGCTGAAGTCCAAGAAGTGGTGAGTTTGGTCTTCAATGTTCTGCAGATCTAATGTCAAGAGTTTCTGCATTTCTGTTTGGAATGAGCTCAGATCTTTAGGTCCTGCTAACAGGATTAGATGAATATGTACTGAGACTTGTTGAGTGATCTTCTGTATGCTGTTATTCATCTTAAAGTACATATTAAGGACGTGCTATTTGCACAGTAAGTCCTTATTCATTATAAGGAGATATTAGCTAAAGTGGGTAGCAGAACCCAAGAAGTAACATGGAAACACTTTGATTTATCACTCAGAGTAATATCTTTCCCAGCAGTGCAGAACATCTCCTCAGAACGGGTGATAGTTTAGAGTCAGCCCATTAGAGATTGGCTGACTTTTCTTCTGTTCCTTAAGGCATTAATTCCCTAAATGTATATACACACTTGGTACTATGTGAGGTGATTTCATGCTCTGTGCATGAACATTTATAGTTTTTGTTTTTGCTATTGCTTGCTCTTTATGACAGGTGGTACTGGCTGCTTCTTGTGGCAGTGATCTAACCTTTCCATTTAATAAACTGATTCACAGAAAAAGTGACTTAAAGAAAAATACTAAGTGAATACTTGCATGGATAATGAAGGGTATGGTAAAAATTATATTGGTAGTGTCTGATTGACTGGAGTTTGTAAACAGAGTTCTACAGATTAGACCAGGATTTTAACTTTTGGCTTTTTTGTGCTCGTACACCAGAGTCTTTGTATCTTACTCTGGAGCAAGAATTCATTGCTTCTTCCCTTCCCCTGTGGATAATGGTGTATCTTCCTTGATACATTCTCAATTCTGATTTCCTTTGCCACGGGGCCAATTCCTGGACCACTTAAGACCACCTGTCCTTTTCTAGATACCTTCTAGGCAGTTTTGAGCATGAAGGGACAAGACCCTTCTGCCTTTTCTCATATCGCTTCATGATCAGGTCCTCACATTTCTCACACACCCACCCACAGTTTCCCCCTCCACTATACAAAAGCAGTCTTATTTAATACCATTATCCAGGAATGACATAGTGACCCTGGCAGAACAAGAGAAAAGCATACTGCACAGAGAGAGGGGAAAGAAACAGCCGGAATAGATGACAGCCTCAGAGTTAGTTGCCAAGGGCTGCATGGGGAGAGAGTGAGGGTTGCTATTGGTAACAAGGAGGCAGAGCATCCCTCCTTCTCTCTGCGGAGGGTCGCCGTGGTGTGAGACATCACTCTCTCCCCAGCAACAGCTTTCCATTGGGTACCACACAGCACATGATCCACAGGTGCCCAGAGGCTCTGCTTCCTCCCTTCTCCCTAGAACAGGCTCCCAGAAAGGGGCTGGCTCAGTTCTGGAAGGTCCTTGGAAACCTCAGGGACACTGTGAAGCTCTCCGCGAGCTTTCTGTTTGTCCTTCATGCCACGCCTCCCAGGAAGGTTGGGAGGGGCTGCTGCGTCCAGCGGGCTTCACCCACCCTGTCCCCTCCCTACCTCCTCTGCCTTCACTGATACTGGACAGGTGCTCCTAGCTCCACCACAAAGGACAAACTGACCATCTGTACCTGTGCTGTTTGCCCAGCGTCGTGTGGCCACGCATTGCAGTTCAGAAATATTTGTGTTCATTGCCAACTTTAAAAAAAACTGGCAGTCCATGGAGATTTCTGGCCTTTTTTTTTTCCCACAAAGGGGCAGCCACGCTGCCCTGCCCAAGCATTCCTGCTCCCTTTAGGGTGAGCCCTTATGCCTCTGCCCCCATCACCGCCTCTCCCGGCCCAGAAGCTGGAATCCCTTGGTTACCACACTGGTCCCGTCTTCGTCTTACCCCTGCTCTGCAGGGCCCTTCTGTGTGACCCGTCTGGCCTCCAGGACTGACCAGCCCCCACGCTACAGTTTCCTAGTTCGTTGACCTTGTTCCAGCAGGAGCCACCCTGCATTGACCTTGCCTGAGAAGTACAGACTTGAGGGGAAACACAGGCTGACTTCTCTGCTTCAGAACTTTGGCGATGAGAGCTAATTTTATAATGCTGCAGGGAGCTGGATCAGTCCAGGCTGCCTTCGTCTCACCAGCCTCCTTGCACGCCCTTGCGTGGCTCAGAATGAGAGCCAGCTAGGAGGAGGGGTGCCACATGCCAGGTAGCGGACGGGAAAATGACATGGCTGTTTGAGAGCCAGTGGAGGAAACAAAAGACCTGGTAAAATACACTTTCTCAGTCAGAACCCAGCCGTTATAAAGATGGCCGTGCAGCTCCCAGCCACAGGATACTTGGTGGGGCTCAAATTTCTCTACACTAGAATTCCAGTTTTTAAATGAAAATATTTAGACACTTCAGAGTACTTGTATTGAGCGACCAGGTTCAGAGTGATTTAAAATAGGTTAGGGTTTGGGAGGAAATAAAATATTTCTATTTTCCTTTTCCTTTTTCCCCTTATCCCCCACCAAAACAAAACAAAAAAAACTCTAAAATGTTCTTTTGTATCTATCTATTCTCTACTTTAATGAGTTATCAGATGAAATGCACTATTCCCAGTGTATATTCCAACTTATGACCAAAGAGGGCACCATTGTGGCAGAGACAGCCATGAACTCTCCATTATAAGCATTCAGCTGAGGATCATTTCCAAGGAATTGACTGAATCTACGACATACAAGGCATACAAGGCATATGTATGTTGTAGTCTCAGCAACATATTTGTGTGTGTGTGTATTTAAAATATATATAAATTTAAGATATATATAAAAACTTGATTTTACTGAATTCAGGATTCTTTAAATTCTGTATTGCTTTATAGTTTTCAAAAGTTTCACACACATGATTTCATATAATCCCATAATAACCTTTATTTTCTTAGCCACAACCCTGCTGGACAGATGCTGTGAGTCCTCATATTATAGGTGAGAGTCTGAGGCTTAGGTGGGTTATGGTCCTTGCCCGAGGCTGCACAGTCTTCGTTCCCCAAGTTTGTGACCCGTGTTTCTTCTGCTGCGCCATTTGACTTCTGAGAGTTCAAGGTTAAAAGTGGTAGAGAAGGAGCTGTACTAGTCTCTTGGAGTGAGCATTTTCTCCTTGAGCCTTGATATCAGGGAAGAAAGGCAGGAGCATTGCTCTTTGCCCCTTTCACTGTAGGAAGAAAGGAGAGCTTCCCTGGGAGCAGGAGCCTGGCCTTCCTACCGGGTCAGCGCAGTGAGGAGGGGCCTGGCACTAAGGAAGTCAGGTGGTCCAGCCTGCAGTCAGTGTTGGGGTGGCTCAGACATTTGATTAGGCCTCCAGGAGGGTTATGACCTGGTCTGAGTCAGAGGAGAAGAAGGACGCTGTCACCATCTGGCCGTGTCGCCAAGCGGCCAGTGCAGTGGGACCCCCACGTTTCCCTCCTATCTCTCTTCTTGCTCATGTGTAGTGAGAGTCACCCCACATGGATAACCATCTCCTGTAAAGGATTTCCTCTCCCTTCCCTTCCCACTGTGCTCACCCTGGCCCCTCATCCCTCGTGCTTGTATTCCATGCCGTGGCTTCCTTGCAGGGGCCTCTGAAGAAGGATGGGGATGACTTTGTTCCTGTAAAAGGTGGTCAGTCTTGTCCTTTTCGCATGCCCTCTAAATGTGAAGATTCCACACAGGCAAAGAGTGTTCAGCTAAGCTCATTGGAGAGGTCGTAACTGCTTATCTCTGGGAAGAGGGATAAGATTCCTGGTTTAAACCACTCATGCTTGATGGAGACTGGAGGCCCAATGAGGTTGTGTTTTATCCTGAGTCCCAGTTACAGCAGCCTGGAACCCCAGCCTGCTGCTTTTACTCCAGAGCTTCCAGCCATTTCTCTTATTTTATGAAACTACAGTCCCAATTCCTGGTGAGTTTTCTGGCACTTTTGTTTTAGAAATAACAGTGCTTTTTTAGGGGTGCAGGGAGCTCTAAATGAAATAATGATAATAGAAAATATCAGAAAATACTTCAAACAGGCTAAATTTATTATTAGTAGTGTGACTTTGGACTTCATTAAAATCAAAACAAAAATTACTAGAGTCTTTTAAAATCAGCACTTTTTGCAGTCTTGAAGATAACAGTCCTGCTCATTCTTGCTGCTAATGCATCCAATATTAATATACATAAAGTAATTCTGTTAAAGAATTCTATACTATTCAGTTCAACACGAGCTGGGAAAAACACCATCACAATTCTACTCTTAGCCCTCAAGGCAGATCCTACTGTCCTTTAAGCCTGGTAATGGTCAGAGATGGTGGGACATTGTCATCAATAGTCAAAGTATGAATAATAATCATAGCATTTGTGATGTCACAGGCACCGTTCTAAGTATTTTACATGAAGTAACTCTTTTATTTATCACAGCAGTCTTTTGAGATAAGTGCTAACAGTATCCCCATTTGCAGCCAGGGAAACTGAGATACAGAAAAGTTAAGTAATATGCCCAAAATCACACAGTTAGTAAATGATAGAACCTGAAGTAGAGAAAAAGGATAGTTCTAGGCAAGTGGAAATTTTAAAGATCAAATTGCTTTTAGGGAGTCTGAAGATTACTAGAAACTTTTAGCCCAAGCAGCTATAGTGATTAATGTAATGATCGTTCAGACATTTTTAATAGCCCCAAGGACAGAGAAGCCTGGCGAGCTGCAGTCCCTGGGTTCACCAAAGAGTCTGACACGACTTAGCAACTAAACAACAACAACAACACAATTTAACATATAAACAGAAAAATCTGAGAAGATAAAGTGCTCAGTGACACTGGTATTAGAAGAACTAGTGTCTCAGACTGTAAGCACCAATCACTGTCTTTTATCTCTCCATGCCAAACCTTGGGAAATTAGTATTGCTAATCTCAGGCTTTTTTAAAAAGTGACAGAACTGAATTATAGGCAACTAAGACTAAAACAATAAAGGTATAGAAATGTACTTTAAACCCACTAGGCCTCTCTGCAAAGAGTCAGGCGATTTTCAGTGTAGGTGAAGTTTTTTTATTTTTAATTAGATGTGTGACTAAGCATATTGATTCTTTGGTCACACTAACTTACATGGAGACAGTGCATCTTTGAAGATTTGTTGTAAGCGAGCATTATTTTCTCTTCAAGCAGAGTCATTTGCAGAGGACGTGGGATAAACTGCCAGCTTTGTAATTTCTCACATCTTGGCTCATCCTCTGGGCCCAAAGACAGTCTCCTGAGTATGTCATGAGATTCCTTCCCACCAGGAGACATCCTGGAAAGAAGACTGCCAAAACTATTTCCATTAAACTCCCTGAACACACTGCCGTCCTGGAGATGTCTCTGGCTTTTGTGAGATGTCAGGGTCGGGGAAGGGAATGTACAGTCTATTAAGTCTGGCTCTCTTTTTAAATTAGGTGTGATTTCTTTTATCTATCATTCCCTAATGAACAGTCGAGCACTTTATAAAGAACAAACTCTTTCTTCCACGTTTTCTAATAGAAAAAAGAGAACTTCCATTTGCATTCTCATGAATATTTAATAGCTTTCTGTCTTTATTTGATTTTGTTTTCATCTTTCTAATACTGATTTTCTTACCTAGAAGTGTACAGCCTGGAGTGTGTCCATTTCTTTATGAAGGTTAACCTTATTCTCTTCAGTTTATTGCTTAACACAGTCCATTATTTCAATATGGGTTGTTGTTGTTTTTTTTTTTTTTTGCAAAGTCCCTCCTTAGGTGCTATCACATTAGTGCCTCCACAAGTTAATCTGATGGGTAGAAAGAAAGTGTATGAAATAATACCTTCCCCCTAAGCCTTCCTGTCTGTCCCTCACAAGCACAGATTTGAAGGCAGCCACGCTACAGCTCTTGGGTGGAATATTTACCTGATAACCATTTATGCATCCACTTGTTTGTCCGATATATAGTCTGTTCATGATACAAAAATGGCTCAGGCACATCCCAGCTCTGGGGAGAATTTCCAGGGTCCAGGAGGCAGGGGTATGGGCTGAAGGACTTAGAGAGAGATACTTAGAATGTCCATCCTGTGGTTACTCTGTTTAATCCTTAGTTTTGCCAACCCTGATTAATCCTGAGCTGACCATCAGGTGACTATTACTTCTATGTTAAATAATTTAAAAGCTTGAGCATCACCTAGAATGTTAAGGAGGGAAAAAATACCAGTAATTCATATTTTAAACACGGAGTAAGGTGAAAAACTGCTTTGACTTGGGCAGAAGTGGAGAATGTCTCAGTGCCCGCTGACACCTGAGCTTTGAAGAACACGCTCACCATTATGTTCTGTGTGATGAGGACACCTTTCAGGCTAGAAGGTTATAGAGAAACTTGGAAACGCTTTACTTCGGAGATTTGCTTCTGTAACTCCCCAGTGATCCACAGGAGGGCGACAGAGAGCATAGAATGGCTCCATTCCTGATCAAGGTGAGAAGAGTGAGGAGGGTGTGCAGGGCTCCCCCAAGGTCTCCTAGAGTGATGTGCCTTGCTGACAGTGGGGCACCTCGGAAAGGCATGCTATAGAATCATGAGCTTAATTACTTATGATGCTGGACAGTTTCTTGGAACGTTCAGCTGGAACAGGCATGCCCAACTCATGAATCATAGCTCAAGTCATCATTAATTTCTACCACGCTGTGGACTTGTGCCCTAATCGCTGCTATCTCTCACTGGCTCTCCCTTGCCCCTGTGTGTCCCTGGCTCAGGGTTCATCTGAGGAGATGGTGCCTCTCTAGAAGGAGATAAATTTCTTCGGGGTATAAACTTAGTCCCTTGAAGTTAAGTTTCCAAGTCCATGGATCAATAGCAGACATTCACATACATCCTGTTCTTGCTCACTGAAAAGCAAAGTCCAAAAGTGATTCTGAAATTGCTGGTTAAAAAAAATTTGCCTAAAATTTCATTTTACTATGTGAGAATCTTGTTCATTTCTACAAATTGTCCCCTTTACCTATCCAACCCTAGTGTTACTTTTTCCAGCTTGCATTTCCTGCCTTACTTAGACAGCTCACCTCAGTGTCCCCTGACATATAGTATGCTCAATCTCAGCTTTAGTTTTTCACTGATTCCTACCTCCTTGAACTGTCCTTTCCCGAGAGTGATTTTTTTTATCCTAATTCTTTAAGGCCCAGCTCTGGTTCCTTCATTCCAACAGACCTTCCAGGAATGATTTTTATCGGGATCTTTCTCTTCACTGGTGCCTGTCGGCCTTTGGTGTGATTTGACACATAAACTGCAAAAATGCCTTCGTGATGTAACTGCCATACACCGCCTGAGTTGTATGTTGGTGGCAAGGATGCTTTTGAACCCCATTGTGCTTTATTAAGAGCTAGATGTACTCTGTGACTGGTTGATCCCTATGTAGCTGATTGGACCTATTTTTGTTGTTGTTGTTGTTGTTGTTGTTCTAGTATTTCAGAAAAATGTAAGTTTCCTTTTCTTTGGATTGTCCTTTTATCCATGGGTTCATCTCTTCTGTTTTTCAGGTCAAAAAAATTCCAGTCATTTATTGAGAGCTGCTTGGTAAAGAACCACAGCCAGCGACCAGCAACAGAACAACTGATGAAGCATCCATTTATACGAGACCAACCTAATGAACGACAGGTCCGCATTCAGCTCAAGGACCATATCGATAGAACAAAGAAGAAGCGAGGAGAGAAAGGTGAGATGCACAATTTTATTTCAGCGAGGGAAACAAAAGACCAATTGTCATGGGCCCTTGGTGTGTTTGGAGGGACCGTGGGGGTTTCAGATAGCCTGCATTGTTCTTTAGCGTGAGGACTGCCTCAGAGATCACAGCCTGTGGGCATCACTAGGGGCAGGCTGCTGGAATGGAATCTTTCATGAAAGAACAGAACTGCAAGAAATATTACCTTTTCCAGGCAGTGAACAAAAAGTCATGTTGAGTGATACTATGAAGTGGTTTAATACGACAAGTGATTTTCTTAATTCAAATGAATATTCACGTTTCAAAGGCAAAATCTACAGAAGACAGCAACCTTAAAAAAAAAAAAACCCATCTAATTGACATTTTTTTCAGTACTGGCACTCTTCACCATTTAAGTTTTTGTGCTCTGAGGCTCATTTTTAATTTAGGTGTTTGGAAGTCAGAAGGAATTTTATTGTAGTCACAGGAATTTTACAAAGGTTGCCAGGCTACTATACAGAACATTGCATTTTCCCCTTTGTTTTATAAATTCAAAAACTCTTTTTTTTTAGGGCTCTATCTGTTGTCCCACCCTGTCTTTTCACTGCATTACTTGAATAGGCATGAGTCCAACTTGGGGTCCTGGGACTGCCTGCAAGTTGTTTGAATAGAAACTCAGAATTCCTTAACTAGCGTCCTGACCAAGTTGAGCTCACCTGGTCTGGGGCAGGTTTTATGACTTAGTTGGGTAGGGCAGTAGGGAAGGTGGAGAATGGAAACGAAAGAGGGAGAATACAGAGAAGAGATGGGGTGAGAGCTCCCTGGTGGTGGCAGGAAGGGGAAGCTGGTGGGGCTGACAGTGAGGCGGAAGTTCCGGCCTGATGAAGTGAGCGCTGAGCCTGGGTGGGGAGGTCCATGGCGATACGCTTGTCTGCACTTCTGTCCTCTCCACCTTTCTCCTCTGCTCTTCATGATCCAGAGGGAGCTGAGGAGGGTGGTGGGCAGCTAAGAACAGAGGGCGCCCTCCTTTTGTAGTAGGGGACTTACTTACTTACTTACTTACAAACGAGTTCTGTTCTGAGAGCCTCTTCCTAATCTGATTTGTTCATAAGTCCCACAAAGTGAGCCTGGGTACCCAACCACCACAATCCACTGTGTAGTACTGTACTGTAATAGGTTCATAATAACTTTCCACACAAATAATATGTACATTAAAAAAGCAAGCACAAAAAAGAAAGAAAACATTTTTAATCTGACAGTACGTACCTTGAAAAGTACAGTAGTACAGTACAACTGCAGGCATACTGGAGCTGGCACGCACGTTTGCATCTTTGAAAGTTCACAGCTGTATTTGAATTTCTCTTCTTTGTCTCTACAGCTAATATCTGTCACATGGCAAAGTATGAGCAGGGTCCTAGGGGTGGGCGGTGAGCAGTGTAAGAGTTAGGACCGGGCAGAGGTAAGATCAGCAAAGGCTAAGGGGACAAGGAGAAATCCTCAGTGAACATTTCAAGGAAAGTTCCTTCTTTGCGGTCAGCCTCCGGGACTCAGGAGAACGTGTGATCAGGTTAGACTCAGGAGCAGGAGGTTTTGAGGCAAGGCCAAAAAGGAGACCTATCTCCAGCTCTTAGTGGGTGGAGAGGGATGACATGTCAGTGTAAACCCAAGGAGCTGGGAGGGCAGTGCAAGATGCACAAACTAGGCATAGAGAGAAGTAGATGAGTCGAGGTTAAAAAGTGCCAGGACCGATTTTTCAACTGCTACTTATTAATAGTGGTCTTGGGCCACTCCATGAAGTCAGAATTTTAAAGGGAATAGTTTAGAGCAGTGTGTCAGACATGCAGCCCATTAAAGGCCAGCTTTCCTAAAAAGAAAATTTATTCTCCTATACATGTAGATTAGGTTAAGTACTTAGACTCTTGTTTTCACACTCAAATTCTGAGTTCAAATTCTACTTCTACCCCTTAGTTATGTGAACTCCACCCCTGTTTTCTCATCTTTAAAATAGGAATGGGGGTATAATAATAATTACTATTGTCTGGCATTTTTGCAAAGATTAAATGAGATAATGCATGTAAAATGCTTACTACAACTTCTGGCATGTAGATGTACTCAATAAATATAAGCTATGCAAAGAGCTGGTTCATTGGAAAAGACCCTAATGCTGGAAAAGATTGAGGGCAGAAGGAGAAGGGGGCGGCAGAGAATGAGATGGTTGGATAGCATCATTGACTCAATGGACATGAGTTTGAACAAACTCTGAGAGACAGTAAAGGACAGGGAAGCATGGCATGCTGCAGTCCATGGGGTCGCAGAGTTGGACACAATTGAGCGACTGAACAACAAACGCTTATTTAGAAAATTCTTTATTGACATAACTTTGCAGTAGTATTTAGGGTTACTTTCTGAGACCTTGTGACCTCTTTGCCTCTGAACCCTAAGAACAGATAAAACGTGTTCCTTGAGTTGTTTGCACATTTTAGGAGCACAGACTCTGGACTGGGACTCAGAACTCACCATCCTGTGAAAGCAGACTATTTTTAACGTGTTCCTTCTCTGCAGAGTAGAAGAGTAAGATTCCTGGTAGTAGGCATATTCAAGAATTGCATGGTGAGCTAAGGAACTTAATTCTGTTTAGGCTTAAGATATACTAACAGCCTTTTTCTGTCTGCTCCCCAAGAAAGAGTATTGCCCAAATGAGACTTCCTTCCAGTTGCTTGATTTGATAAGTGACTTAATTTGCTCCTTCTAGTACTTTTTCATTCTCTTAGTAGCTCTAAGATCAGTTTTGGGGAGAATCAAAAATTTTAATGTGCATTGTTTATGATTTCTTAACCTGATACTTGGGTTTTCCTGGTGGCTCAGGGGTAAAGAATCCGCCTGCATTGCAGGAGCTGCAAGAGATGGTTCTGTCCCTGGGTTGGGAAGATCCCCTGGAGGAGGGTGGAGCAACACACTCCCGTATTCTTGCCTGGAGAATCCCATGGACAGAGGAGCCTGGTAGGCTACAGTTCATAGGGTTGCAGAGTGGGACATGACTGAAGCAACTTAGCATGCATACACAACCTAATACTGTTTTTTCCTCAAGATATCTTGAGACATGCTAATTTAAGACAGCAGTGCAAAAGCAATCATGCTGGATTCTGATGAAGTATTGCAGGTGAGGAATCTGACAAAATTTCACCCTATTGAAGAGAAATAATTAGATTAATTGTGTACTTCTGTTTCTTGCTTTAATTTACTTTAATATATAAAATTTCTGCAGTTTACTTTGAATTCTCTGTTGCTTTGTTTCAGGAAAGTTTGGAATATTAAACTTTCAATGTGGAACTTTGACATACTTTATGAAGGGTCTTTACATTTTGGTGGAATAATATTTTTTAAAAAGTGACCTGAAAGCTTCATACATATCTAAACATGTAAAGCTGATTTTTATATGATTTTTAAAAATACACTTGAAGTCACCATGCCATGACTTCCTTTCATAATCACTTATGGAGTAGGATGGAAAGCAAAGTGTGTTAATGATCAAATGCCATAGTTCTTATCATGTGACTGCTGCCTCCTGGTGGTAACATAAGCAAATTGCAGTTTCAGTTGCTTTTCAGGGACACAAATGTCTTCAAAGCTGTAATTACTAACCCACAGCTATCAACAGATGATAGCCCTGTGACAACCTCCCTTGCTTAAAATGAAAAGCTCCTCCATAAGGCTCCCCACTGCCCACAGAAAAGCCTCAACATGTTAAATATCAGCAAGTCACATCAGACCTGCTGGCCTTTCTCACTCCATCTGCTTTCTCACACCAAACACCCAGAAACCAATGTTTCCTGAACATTCATGCACTGTAGTACTGTCAGCCTAACTCAGGTAGTTATGTTGCTTAGATGCTCCTTTTCCAGCCACTTTCAGCCTGTAAATGGGCTACTGACCTTCCAAGGTCCAGCTTATTTCTTCGCCAAAGACCTGGCTGTTCCTTCCCCATTTTGACCCATGGACTTAGCTGCTTTTTCCTCTGATACCTCATTGCTCTTTTTATGTATTTCTGTTTAGTATATAATGTGGTGAAAAGAATGCTAATTATAAAGTTGGAAAAATTCTGGGTTGAATTCTAAATCCAAATCTCAGATTTATTAGTCATATTACTTAGCCACTTATAATCTCAGTACCTTTGCTTGCAAAATGGGTATCATATTAAAGGATTGTTATGAGAAGTAGATGAGAGAACATAAGTAATCTAGCATAGTGACCAGCATGGGTGATACCCAATAAAAATTAGTTCTTTTTCTTTATAATCATGGTGACTCTGATTATTATCTGTCCATCTTGACCATCAGATTCTAATCTCCTCCAAAGCAGAGACTCAATCTTATTCATTATTGCATGTTAATACGCTAAACATATTTGTGAATTAAACGAACATCCCCAGTGAGTCAATAGAAACACATTTAACCCTATATTTTTAGTCACATATGCTATCAAAAGTTTCTTTCTGTTCTTGAGATATTGAAAGGCAATTTTTGAGTCCAGGTAAGTTATAATAAAATTTCCACTTTAAAAAAAATGATTATTACTGTCAGTAAGTTCACAGTGGCCTGGATTGGGTTGCTGCTGCTGCTGCAGCTGCTAAGTCGCTTCAGTCATCTCCGACTCTGTGTGGCCCCATAGACGGCAGCCCACCAGGCTCCCCCGTCCCTGGGATTCTCCAGGCAAGAACACTGGAGTGGGTTGCCATTTCCTTCTCCAGTGCATCAAAGTGAAAAGTAAAAGTGAATTTGCTCAATCGTATCTGACTCTTCGCGACCCCATGGACTGCAGCCTACGAGGCTCCTCTGTCCATGGATTTTCTATGCAAGAGTGCTGGAGTGGGGTGCCATTGCCTTCTCCGCCGGATTGGGTTAGGTGCTTCTATAATAGAAGTTAACAGGAACTGAGGAGTTCTGTTTCAGCTTCTTGTCTTCACTTGCATGTGAATGCTGGGCTTTAAGGAGAGAGCCTAGAGTGGCTGGGGCAGTCTCAGATGTTAATTCCATGCACTTGAATCCAGGTGGTGGGTATTGTTGGGCCACAAGTCAGAACCCTGGAGCCTGCCCCGGGTCAGCCCTTTGGGCCTCGGTTTACTTGTGCAGAAAATGAAGGGTGGGCTTTCCTGAGCTGCAGCGCGTTCTGTGCACTGACCTTCCGTGGGTCTCTCTCTAGACGAGACGGAATATGAGTACAGCGGGAGTGAGGAAGAAGAAGAGGAGAATGACTCCGGAGAGCCCAGGTAGGCAAGCAGGAGCCTCCTCTCGTTTCACACTGTGAATTGTGCTTGTGTGGAATTCACATCCTTTTGATTTATAGGTGCATTTTTAAGAATCCAGCAGGGTGGTCTTATCTAATTTATTGCCCATGCATGTACTCATTAATTTGGGAAATTTTCCCTAGGCAGGCTGTATGAGAACATGAAAATCAGTATATTATTTATCTTGTCTTCCAAGATTTATTTCCTTGTTTCCTGGTATATACAGAATTGTAGAATGGGGAGGAGGCAGTTATCTGGGTAATAGGCTAACAGTACAGCAAACTGCAGCTTTCTGGAGACCTAAGTGGTGCTTTTTTGACTTGAGTTATTCAGTCTATTACTTCGTACCTTTGAGACGTTTAGGCGGCCACTGTCCTCATCACATGCTGTGGTATTTTCATCACAGCCTAATCCAAGAGGAAACAGCCTCCAGGAAGTCAAATTACATTCTCGAGGTGAACCCTAAATAGAACTCCCATGCCCATTCCTGCTGTCATATGTTAGTTCCCAGAATCAAGTGCTGCTTTATTACCATCATTCCTACGTTTTAAATTTCACTTGACTTTGATTCTGACTTTTTCCTAGTCTGTGTTTATAAACAATTAATGCCAGTGTGCTCACACCACCAGGATTTCTTTTTTTGTAAGAGAATTCAGCTGATGGCAGTTTGGTGAATCAAAGAGCATGGCCATGCACACCAGGGTGGATGCACTGTTCATGTGAAGTGAAATCTGTTGGGGAAATGAACAAAGCAGTAGGGTCACTGGGGTATATAGAGGTCTCCACCCTCTAGCTATCCAAGGATGGGGCCCAGCACTCAATAAGGAACAGATTCTGTGTGACTGAGGCAGAGCTTCCAAACCAGCGAAGGGTCCAACTCAGCCACTGCTGCTGGAGTGAGCTAGTGCATCCCTTTTCTGAGCTAACTTGGACCTAACCAAACTGGATTATTGCTAAAACTACTGGAAGAGGAGATCCAACCAGTCCATCCTAAAGGATATCAGTCCTGGGTGTTCAATGGAAGGACTGATGTTGAAGCTGAAACTCCAGTACTTTGGCCACCTGATGTGAAGAGCTGATTCACATTTGAAAAGACCCTGATGCTGGGAAAGATTGAGGGCGAGAGGAGAAGGGGACGACAGAGGATGAGATGGTTGGATGGCATCACCGACTCAATGGGCATGGGTTTGGGTAGACTCTGGGAGTTGGTGATAGACAGTGGAGGCCTGGGGTGCTGCGGTTCATGGGGTCGCAAAGAGTCGGACACGACTGAGCGACTGAACTGAACTGAACTGGAAGAGGACAGGACTGAACTTACAGGGCTGACAGTTTTTCTCTCTTTACCTGCTATGGGAATCTTCAAGGTCAAAGACTGAAGGAGAATTCTTTCCTTCCATCTGGGTACTTAACATGTTGGCTGCCCCCAGCTTAGCTGCATAAAGATGATAACTGCCAAGTAGTGGTATGGAAAATGAACATTCCTATAAAGCAAAGGGCCCAATGCCCTGCTTTCAGAGATGTTACACACTGTTTTTCCAAAGCTTGCTCAGACAGACACTTCAGCCCTTCTGATCACTCTCCATGGAGCTGGGACCCTTGTCTTAACTAATACTTGCTGTATCGTGTGTTAGCAGTCACTTAGTGGGTGACCTAAATGTCCCTTAACTCTTCTGTAATTGTAACATGTCTATATATGACATTGAAGATTATCTTTCAAGTCCTGTTTTATGGGCACATCTAATTAATTTTCATGAAATCCTGAAAAGTAAAAAGGGGCAGTGTTGATTTCATTATGGAAATGAGGTGACAGCCCAGCACTGGCAGCCAGGCCACACGTGGAGGTAATGATTGGGCCGGTAACACAGCTCAGATCATCTGACGTTGATTCAGCATCAGGTAATAGTAATAGATTGTCCTCGTGTGCACAGGAGGCTGGGTTCCCCAAGCCCGTCTCCCTTTGCACAGAGCATGTGGCCATCATTTTGGGTTGGTTTAGAGTCCTGCACAAAGGCTGGAGTTTTAAAGGAAACTTAATAGTAGGGTCCAAACGCTGTCTGTGAACCAAGCCTTTTTTGTTTGTTTGTTTGTTTGTTTATTAGTTGGAGGCTAATTACTTTACAATATTGTAGTGGGTTTTGCCATACATTGACATGAACCAGCCATGGATTTACATGTGTTCCCCATCCTGAACCCCCCTCCCGCCTCCCTCCCCATCCCGATCCCTCTGGGTCTTCCCAGTGCACCAGCCCCGAGCACTTGTCTCATGCATCCAACCTGGACTGGCGATCTGTTTCACACTTGATAATATACATGTTTTGATGCTGTTCTCTCAGATCATCCCACCCTCGCCTTCTCCCAGAGTCCAAAATTCTGTTCTATAATCTGTGTCTCTTTTTCTGTCTTGCATATAGGGTTATCGTTAGCATCTTTCTAAATTCCATATATATGCGTTAGTATACTGTATTGATGTTTATCTTTCTGGCTTACTTCACTCTGTATAATGGGCTCCAGTTTCATCCATCTCATTAGAACTGATTCAAATGTATTCTTTTTTAATGGCTGAGTAATATTCCACAGTGTATATGTACCACAGCTTTCTTATCCATTCATCTGCTGATGGGCATCTAGGTTGCTTCCATGTCCTGGCTATGATAAACAGTGCTGCAATGAACATTGGGGCACACGTGTCTCTTTCAGATCTGGTTTCCTCGATGTGTATGCCCAGCAGTGGGATTGCTGGGTCATATGTCAGTTCTACTTCCAGTTTTTTAAGGAATCTTCACACTGTTGTCCAGAGTGGCTATACTAGTTTGCATTCCCACCAACAGTGTAAGAGGGTTCCCTTTTCTCCACACCCTCTCCAGCATTTATTGCTTGTAGACTTTTGGATAGCAGCCATCCTGACTGGCGTGTAATGGTACCTCATTGACGTTTTTATTTGCATTTCTCTGATAATGAGTGATGTTGAGCATCTTTTCATGTGTTTGTTAGCCATCTGTATGTCTTCTTTGGAGAAATGTCTGTTTAGATCTTTGGCCCATTTTTTGATTGGGTCATTTATTTTTCTGGAATTGAGCTGCAGGAGTTGCTTGTATATTTTTGAGATTAATCCTTTGTCTGTTTCTTCATTTGCTATTATTTTCTCCCATTCTGAAGGCTGCCTTTTCACCTTGCTTATAGTTTCCTTTGTTGTGCAAAAGGTTTTAAGTTTAATTAGGTCCCATTTGTTTATTTTTGCTTTTATTTCCAATATTCTGGGAGGTGGGTCATAGAGGATCTTGCTGTGATTTATATCGGAGAGTGTTTTGCCTATGTTCTCCTCTAGGAGTTTTATAGTTTCTGGTCTTACATTTAGATATTTAATCCATTTTGAGTTTATTTTTGTGTATGGTGTTAGAAAGTGTTCTAGTTTCATTCTTTTACAAGTGGTTGACCAGTTTTCCCAGCACCACTTGTTAAAGAGGTTGTCTTTCTCCATTGTATATTCTTGCCTCCTTTGCCAAAGATAAGGTGTCCATAGGTACATGGATTTATCTCTGGGCTTTCTCTTTTGTTCCATTGATCTATATTTCTGTCTTTGTGCCAGTACCATACTGTCTTGATGACTGTGGCTTTGTAGTAGAGCCTGAAGTCAGGTAGGCTGATTTCCTCCAGTTGAACTAAGCCTTTTTATGTCACTTTATGGCAGTATCTTAGGCTTCCCAGGCAGCACTAGTGATAAAGAACCTGCCTGCCAATGCAGGAGACATGAGACGCAGGTTCGATCCCTGGGTCATGAAGATCCCCTGGAGGAGGGCACAGAAGCCCACTCTAGTATTGTTACTTGGAGAATCCCATGGACAGAGGCGCCTGATGGGCTACAGTTCATGGGATTGCAAAGAGTCAGACACAACTAAAGCGACTTAGCTTGCACACACGCGTGGCGGTATCTCACAGAGCATGCTACCCGCTCTCTAAGACAGAATGATCCCCTTGTCAGCCACAAAACCCACTCTTCCCCTGTCATTCCCCATCCCAATTTGCATCACCACCACAGCCCAGATGCCAAGAAAAAACCTGCAAGTCATCCCTCACTCCACACATTGGATCCATCAACAGGTTTTACTAACTCTGTCCCCAAAGGCTTCTCGCCGCCTCTGACCCCACCACTCCCACCCGATTAGTCTCCACCCCAGAACCACTGCAGTAGCAGCCCGATGGGTGGCCTTGCTTGCCCTCATACACCGGGCAGAATAGCATCTATGGAGCAGACAAGTGAATCTCATCCTGTTACTTTCCTGCTGATAAATGTTCCACACATGGCATCTACAGCCTCGTGCTTTACCCTATCTCCCCGTCTCTGCCCTCCTCTTGTACCCCTCTTGCTTTCATTCACTCTGCTCTGGGAAGACAGCTTGGGGTTCAGTCCCCCACAAAGGCCGCCCTTGTTGCCATGACAGGCCTCTAAACTTGCTTTCCCTTCTGCCCGAAAGAGTCTTCCCCTACCTCTTTGTGTTCAACATTTAGGGCTTAGCTCAACCATCATCTTCTAGGAGAGGTCTTCCCTGATCTAAAAGAGAGTCCTCATCCTCTCCCCAGCTCCCTGCCACTGTCCCTCTTAAAACTCTTACACTTTTTTGTCTTCTGTAGAGCCTATTAATATCTGAAATGATGTTGTTTGTAGAATTTGTCTAATTATTTGTGTCTCTTCCCCACAAGAAGAAAATATGTTTAGTTACTGCTCTATCCACTAGAGCCTATTACAGTGCCTGCTACATAGTAGGCATTCAGTGATTGTTTAATGGATTTATCTCAAGAGGAAGCTGCCAGAAATATTAAAAACACTACATCTGTTTGAACAAGTAGGAACATTCCCCTCCTGGCTGGGCCACTGTGCAGAACCAAGGAGTCTGTAGCTTGAATTCTAGGAGGTTAAGTGATTGAGGATATATCCATCTATGTAGAGCAGGCTTCCTCACCGCTTCTGATTATTCATTCTTATTTGTTGGCTTAGTTCTTGCTTAGTTCTTTCTTAAAAGTGGAAATAAACCAGTCTGGGTGGGACTCAGGGCTTGCGGTACTCAAAAAAGCTTTTAGAAATTAGAGTGTGAGGGAGGAGCTCTGTGGACCGTCCTGGAGAGAAGTGATGAATTCAGGAATGGGATATCTCTATGGCGGTGGAGACAGCCTATGCCTGCAGTAATCACACTGAAGGGGAGGCTGGACTTGAGTTAGTTCCCTGGACCCTGTTTCTTTGCCGAGGTGAGCAGTGGAATCGATGGAGGCTCAGAGAGCCCGTGCTTGGCTCTCCTCCACGGGGACCCCAGGGTAGCGATGACCCCACCCGGAGTGGCCTCTGATCCGTCGCTCTCTCCGGCCCGCAGCTCCATTCTCAACCTGCCCGGGGAGTCGACGCTGCGGCGGGACTTCCTGAGGCTCCAGCTGGCCAACAAGGAGCGGTCCGAGGCCCTGCGGCGGCAGCAGCTGGAGCAGCAGCAGCGGGAGAACGAGGAGCACAAGCGGCAGCTGCTGGCCGAGCGCCAGAAGCGCATCGAGGAGCAGAAGGAGCAGCGGCGGCGGCTGGAGGAGGTGAGGGCGGGCCCTGGCGCCCGGGGCCCTTCCTGGGTGTCCGCGTGGCCCTCGGTCTCCTGCTCAGGCTGTGGGCTGCCCGGAACACTCACCCCGGACAGGCTGTGGCCTGCCCGGAGCACTCACCCCTGAGCCGCGGAGGAGGAGGTGAGGGCGGGCCCTGGCGCCCGGGGCCCCTTCCTGGGTGTCCGCGTGGCCCTCAGTCTCCCTGCTCAGGCTGTGGGCTGCCCGGAGCACTCACCCCTGAGCCGCGGAGGAGGAGGTGAGGGCGGGCCCTGGCGCCCGGGGCCCTTCCTGGGTGTCCGCGTGGCCCTCGGTCTCCCTGCTCAGGCTGTGGCCTGCCCGGAGCACTCACCCCTGAGCCGCGGAGGAGGAGGTGAGGGCGGGCCCTGGCGCCCGGGGCCCCTTCCTGGGTGTCCGCGTGGCCCTCGGTCTCTTGCTCAGGCTGTGGGCTGCCCGGAGCACTCACCCCTGAGCCGCGGAGGAGGAGGTGAGGGCGGGCCCTGGCGCCCGGGGCCCTTCCTGGGTGTCCGCGTGGCCCTCCGTCTCCCTCCCGAGGCTGTGGGCTGCCCGGAGCACTCACACCTGAGCCGCGGAGGAGGAGGTGAGGGCGGGCCCTGGCGCCCGGGGCCCTTCCTGGGTATCCGCGTGGCCCTCGGTCTCCCTGCTCAGGCTGTGGGCTGCCCGGAGCACTCACCCCTGAGCCGCGGAGGAGGAGGTGAGGGCGGGCCCTGGCGCCCAGGGCCCCTTCCTGGGTGTCCGCGTGGCCCTCGGTCTGCCTGCTCAGGCTGTGGGCTGCCCGGAGCACTCACCCCTGAGCCGCGGAGGAGGAGGTGAGGGCGGGCCCTGGCGCCCGGGGCCCCTTCCTGGGTGTCCGCGTGGCCCTCGGTCTGCCTGCTCAGGCTGTGGGCTGCCCGGAGCACTCACCCCTGAGCCGCGGAGGAGGAGGTGAGGGCGGGCCCTGGCGCCCGGGGCCCCTTCCTGGGTGTCCGCGTGGCCCTCGGTCTGCCTGCTCAGGCTGTGGGCTGCCCGGAGCACTCACCCCTGAGCCGCGGAGGAGGAGGTGAGGGCGGGCCCTGGCGCCCGGGGCCCCTTCCTGGGTGTCCGCGTGGCCCTCAGTCTCCCTGCTCAGGCTGTGGGCTGCCCGGAGCACTCACCCCTGAGCCGCGGAGGAGGAGGTGAGGGCGGGCCCTGGCGCCCGGGCCCCTTCCTGGGTGTCCGCATGACCCTCGGTCTCTTGCTCAGGCTGTGGGCTGCCCGGAGCACTCACCCCTGAGCCGCGGAGGAGGAGATGAGGGCGGGCCCTGGCGCCCGGGGCCCTTCCTGGGTGTCCGCGTGGCCCTCCGTCTCCCTCCCGAGGCTGTGGGCTGCCCGGAGCACTCACACCTGAGCCGCGGAGGAGGAGGTGAGGGCGGGCCCTGGCGCCCGGGGCCCTTCCTGGGTATCCGCGTGGCCCTCGGTCTCCCTGCTCAGGCTGTGGGCTGCCCGGAGCACTCACCCCTGAGCCGCGGAGGAGGAGGTGAGGGCGGGCCCTGGCGCCCAGGGCCCCTTCCTGGGTGTCCGCGTGGCCCTCGGTCTGCCTGCTCAGGCTGTGGGCTGCCCGGAGCACTCACCCCTGAGCCGCGGAGGAGGAGGTGAGGGCGGGCCCTGGCGCCCGGGGCCCCTTCCTGGGTGTCCGCGTGGCCCTCGGTCTGCCTGCTCAGGCTGTGGGCTGCCCGGAGCACTCACCCCTGAGCCGCGGAGGAGGAGGTGAGGGCGGGCCCTGGCGCCCGGGGCCCCTTCCTGGGTGTCCGCGTGGCCCTCGGTCTGCCTGCTCAGGCTGTGGGCTGCCCGGAGCACTCACCCCTGAGCCGCGGAGGAGGAGGTGAGGGCGGGCCCTGGCGCCCGGGGCCCCTTCCTGGGTGTCCGCGTGGCCCTCAGTCTCCCTGCTCAGGCTGTGGGCTGCCCGGAGCACTCACCCCTGAGCCGCGGAGGAGGAGGTGAGGGCGGGCCCTGGCGCCCGGGCCCCTTCCTGGGTGTCCGCATGACCCTCGGTCTCTTGCTCAGGCTGTGGGCTGCCCGGAGCACTCACCCCTGAGCCGCGGAGGAGGAGATGAGGGCGGGCCCTGGCGCCCGGGGCCCTTCCTGGGTGTCCGCGTGGCCCTCCGTCTCCCTCCCGAGGCTGTGGGCTGCCCGGAGCACTCACACCTGAGCCGCGGAGGAGGAGGTGAGGGCGGGCCCTGGCGCCCGGGGCCCTTCCTGGGTGTCCGCGTGGCCCTCAGTCTCCCTGCTCAGGCTGTGGGCTGCCCGGAGCACTCACCCCTGAGCCGCGGAGGAGGAGGTGAGGGCGGGCCCTGGCGCCCGGGGCCCTTCCTGGGTGTCCGCGTGGCCCTCGGTCTGCCTGCTCAGGCTGTGGCCTGCCCGGAGCACTCACCCCTGAGCCGCGGAGGAGGAGGTGAGGGCGGGCCCTGGCGCCCGGGGCCCCTTCCTGGGTGTCCGCGTGGCCCTCGGTCTCTTGCTCAGGCTGTGGGCTGCCCGGAGCACTCACCCCTGAGCCGCGGAGGAGGAGGTGAGGGCGGGCCCTGGCGCCCGGGGCCCTTCCTGGGTGTCCGCGTGGCCCTCCGTCTCCCTCCCGAGGCTGTGGGCTGCCCGGAGCACTCACACCTGAGCCGCGGAGGAGGAGGTGAGGGCGGGCCCTGGCGCCCGGGGCCCTTCCTGGGTGTCCGCGTGGCCCTCGGTCTGCCTGCTCAGGCTGTGGCCTGCCCGGAGCACTCACCCCTGAGCCGCGGAGGAGGAGGTGAGGGCGGGCCCTGGCGCCCGGGGCCCCTTCCTGGGTGTCCGCGTGACCCTCGGTCTCTTGCTCAGGCTGTGGGCTGCCCGGAGCACTCACCCCTGAGCCGCGGAGGAGGAGGTGAGGGCGGGCCCTGGCGCCCGGGGCCCCTTCCTGGGTGTCCGCGTGGCCCTCGGTCTGCCTGCTCAGGCTGTGGGCTGCCCGGAGCACTCACCCCTGAGCCGCGGAGGAGGAGGTGAGGGCGGGCCCTGGCGCCCGGGGCCCCTTCCTGGGTGTCCGCGTGGCCCTCGGTCTGCCTGCTCAGGCTGTGGGCTGCCCGGAGCACTCACCCCTGAGCTGCGGAGGAGGAGGTGAGGGCGGGCCCTGGCGCCCGGCGTCCCTTCCTGGGTGTCCGCGTGGCCCTCGGTCTCCCTGCTCAGGCTGTGGGCTGCCCGGAGCACTCACCTCTGAGCCGCGGAGGAGGAGGTGAGGGCGGGCCCTGGCGCCCGGGGCCCCTTCCTGGGTGTCCGCGTGGCCCTCAGTCTCCCTGCTCAGGCTGTGGGCTGCCCGGAGCACTCACCCCTGAGCCACGGAGGAGGAGGTGAGGGCGGGCCCTGGCGCCCGGCGTCCATTCCTGGGTGTCCGCGTGGCCCTCGGTCTGCCTGCTCAGGCTGTGGGCTGCCCGGAGCACTCACCCCTGAGCCGCGGAGGAGGAGGTGAGGGCGGGCCCTGGCGCCCGGCGTCCCTTCCTGGGTGTCCGCCTGGCCCTCCGTCTCCCTGCTCAGGCTGTGGGCTGCCCGGAGCACTCACCCCTGAGCTGCGGAGGAGGAGGTGAGGGCGGGCCCTGGCGCCCGGCGTCCCTTCCTGGGTGTCCACGTGGCCCTCCGTCTCTCTGCTCAGGCTGTGGGCTGCCCGGAGCACTCACCCCTGAGCTGCGGAGGAGGAGGTGAGGGCGGGCCCTGGCGCCCGGCGTCCCTTCCTGGGTGTCCGCGTGGCCCTCGGTCTGCCTGCTCAGGCTGTGGGCTGCCCGGAGCACTCACCCCTGAGCCGCGGAGGAGGAGGTGAGGGCGGGCCCTGGCGCCCGGGGCCCCTTCCTGGGTGTCCGCGTCGCCCTCGGTCTGCCTGCTCAGGCTGTGGGCTGCCCGGAACACTCACACCTGAGCCGCGGAGGAGGAGGTGAGGGCGGGCCCTGGCGCCCGGCGTCCCTTCCTGGGTGTCCGCGTGGCCCTCCGTCTCCCTGCTCAGGCTGTGGGCTGCCCGGAGCACTCACCCCTGAGCTGCGGAGGAGGAGGTGAGGGCGGGCCCTGGGGCCCGGCGTCCCTTCCTGGGTGTCCGCGTGGCCCTCGGTCTCCCTGCTCAGGCTGTGGCCTGCCCGAAGCACTCACACCTGAGCCACGGAGGAGGAGGTGAGGGCGGGCCCTGGCGCCCGGCGTCCCTTCCTGGGTGTCCGCGTGGCCCTCGGTCTCCCTGCTCAGGCTGTGGCCTGCCCAGAACACTCACCCCTGACAAGCTGTGGGCTGCCCGGAGCACTCACCCCTGAGCCGCGGAGGAGGAGGTGAGGGCAGGCCCTGGCGCCCGGGGCCCCTTCCTGGGTGTCCGCGTGGCCCTCGGTCTCCCTCCCAAGGCTGTGGCCTGCCCGGAGCACTCACCCCTGACAAGCTGTGGCCTGCCCGGAGCACTCACCCCTGAGCCGCGGAGGAGGAGGTGAGGGCGGGCCCTGGCGCCCGGCGTCCCTTCCTGGGTGTCCGCGTGGCCCTCCGTCTCCCTCCCGAGGCTGTGGCCTGCCCGGAGCACTCACACCTGAGCCGCGGAGGAGGAGGTGGCCAAGGGCACTTCACCAGCAGGGTGGTGTGACCTTGGTGTGGTCACGTCAGAAACAGGTGGAGGGTTCAGCCCCTTCCAGTCTTGCTCAGGTATCACCTTCTTAGTGAGACCTCCTTGGCTTCCTCACTTAAAATCTCAGCCCTCCCTCCCTCTATCATGTCCTGTCTCCCTTCCCCGTTGCATTTTTTCTTATGTATCTCTTAACCACCTTCACACCTGTGAGCTTCATGTGTCATATGTCTGTCTCTCCCCACTAGAAAGTAAGCTCTTTGTGGACAGGATATTTTATCCCTTTTGTGCATCTCTTTTTTTTTTTTCCCCCTTTTATCACTGTGTATCTCAATATTATGTATCTAGATGTGTATGTGCTTAGTCACTCAGTTGTACCTGATTCTTCACGACCTCATGGATTGTAGCCCGTCAGGCT